ATTGCATACCCTCCTCGAGTCGGGCTTGATGGGTGACTGCGTGTTCCTCGCCGCCTGGCAGGGGGGCTTCCCCGAATCGCGCGGCTAGGAACGATGTTGACAAGTTGCCCCGGCGGCGGCGGTGGCAGACCGGGCACTTCCTGCCGAATGGCAGAGCCGACGAGGAGGAGACAATGCCTCGATGACGATGTGTCCGGTGCGAAGCTGCCGCGGCGTCTGCCCCGCGTGGAACCCACGCGTGTGGTTCGGTTGATGACGTATTTGTTAGGGTCATGGCAATGCAGGCGCCTTTGCCGAGATGGTTATGTGTGGGGATGACGGCAGGCACGACGTCGTGTTTGTGAAGCGCATCTGTCTCATGTGTCATGTGCCACGTGCCATGCGACACATTCTTCTGGAGATAGTGGCAAATTTTGCGGTATTTTACAGTGCTTGCCTATACCAAACTTGGTCTTTATGGTGCAAACACGTTTCTTTTTACGGCGACTTATGTATTAAAACGCCTTGTACGATTTACGCATAAATAAGCATGAAAATGTGTAAAATGTGTAAAATGGGCTCTATGTACTTTAGACAGCACATGCCGACTCAAGGAGTCCGGGAAGTGGTGGCTAGACAAGCTGAAATGTGCAAAAAACGACTTTTTGCATGACGACGTTCCTGCCCTTGCTGAGGGCGAGGTGGACGCTGCATTGCTGGTGCTCGAGGTGTTGGAGAATGCATCGTTGCTTTGTACACCATCATGTAATCTGGCAATGTTGGTGAACCGTAAATGTGCAAAATTGCCACAGAATTGGCCGTTTGTCTATTTTTGCGTTTTTGTGCAAAAAGGCGTAAACACAAAAATGGGGCCGTAAACGCAAAGACGAGCCTTGTTTGCACCCTTTTCTGGAACAGCAACCAGAACCCTACCCAAAAAACTACAAACCTATGCCCCAATGCCTAAGGGTGCACTGCGTGTTGGGGAAGCAGTGCAAGGAAACTGTGGCAGGGGCAGGCCCCACGTCAAGATTTGGGTAACCTGTGCTTCCAGACGACAAAGTACGCAGCCAAATGTGTGCCTGCGATCTGCAAACGTGCAATAACAGTCCCAGCGGCAAGCTCATCATGTCAGTGGCAGTGTCAGTCAGTGGCAGTGTCAGCCAGCACTACTTAGTCGTACATTGATCACAGAAGCCATGTTCAAGCGGGGTGTCGTCACTATGTGTCAAACATGCCCATCTAAGGATAATGGTGCCTGTATGGTGAGAGCTGCTCTGAGAGCGTCTGCCAGAGCCATCCGCTGAGACCAGGGTTGGGAAATCAATGTGCATCAACGTGCATGTGACATCAGCAGCTGTTTGTACATGGGGTTCTTGACAAACTGGACTCGAAAAATGTTCGAGCACAGAAGATGACTATTGGGGTCCTTGTATATGGAAGCATGTTTAACAATCCATGTGTGTGGTCTTGTGAGAAATGCTCATTGTGTCTTATCTCTGTTGGTGGGGGGGCAATGCAGGTTTGACAAAAGGAAGCCTGTGGCGATGGCTATGCATATTTCTAATTGTGGACTGCGCCCTTGCACAAGGTGCGAATCACCTGGTCATTTCTGCTTTGGGGTGCTTGAAGCACTGCACTGCACTGCATTTTTGTAGCCATCTGTTTGTACCCAAGGGGCTGGGGCAGCAGTGTGCTCCATGTCTGACAGTCTCTTCTCATTGAATGCTCGATTACAGATTGCCAAACTTGCCATTGTCGACATGCCAAGGGGAGAAATCTGGCACTCGATAACGACATGCACTAACCTCCTGAAATTAGTAGCTTTCTGGATTGAGCCTGGATACTATTTTGACCTTGTTGGGCTGGCGCAAATTCATTACAAAGACACGAGTTTACGGCATACTGTTTCGTACCCTGCAAAACGAAAGTGTCAAGTTTCGTCACCAAATCATGGTGCAGCTACAGCATTCTGATATTCAGAGTGGGCTAGTTATGCAATGCAAGTGTGCGCCTCAGTAATGGCACCAAATGCGCTCGTTCCCATTCGCTGTGTTGGCAGTGTTTTGGCAGCAATTCTGTTTTCTTCTTGATCCCAGGGCCAGAAAACTTTCCAGGGTGTTCGCCTTTCAAGGATGCCAATGGCAGCATCGTAGTGACTGATGATGCTTTGGAGGCTGTCAACAACGACATCCAATTCCTTGTCAACTGTGCTGCTGTGGGCGGATCTGTTCTGTTTGAGACGACCACTATACGACCGACGACGTCCATTGTTGTCGACAAGCCTGTCAGACTTGGTGCAGTCAGCATGACGGAGGTGCTTTTTGCATGCCCCCTCAGTGGACCAGTGTTTGATATACGGTGAGCTGCTGTGAATTGCTGAGGCTATCACGCACAGTCCCTTGCTTGCACGTACCTTCGAAGTGCCTTGGCTTGCAGCTACTGAGTTCCTGACTAACATTATTTGGTATGCGGAGGTCTCACCCCTCACTTCCCTATTTCCCCTTCTCCCTTGTTTCTCAAATAATCAACAGAAAAAAAGGTACTGCTCTTTTTTTTGTAAATAAACATTGATCTATTTGATAACTTCATAAGTGCCTCCGATCTCCCCATCTATTTGAGACTGAATGCAGATGACAATCGAAGCTTTCTGCCAAGCATTTCTTTATATGCCCCCAATGCACCACTGCAGATGTATATCTTTGCTTGCGACTGTGACTCCTGGTAAATCATGAATATTCCAGTGTGATGGCAGAAGGAAGACATGAATGCATACAGGGGCAAGTGACAGTTTGTGCAGTGGAGACATGCAGTAGACAGGTCATGGAAATGGAATGCAGTGTGGGTTGTAGTCCAGAGCAGGAAGCCTAAATGTGGAACATGATGTGAAGGTTTGCATTAAAAAACAATTTCACAGTGTGGTACATGCGTGGGTGCCTCTGCCTCCATGTGTGCAATTGAGGAACAGCAGCACATGGCATTGGGACAAGGGTGCAGGGAAGCCAAGCAGTGCATGTGCACTGAGCAGAAAACTTAATTTAGAATTGATGAGTCAGTGGGCTTTGGGGGAAGGGAAGGCTGCAGTGGTTGGCCGGTGCCACACAAGCTGTTGCTGCATTAGCAGATGCTAACAGTGACAACATCAAGAATACCTTGGCATTCCCCAGTGGCAAGGGGAAGGCGAACAACATCGTTCCATGAAATGAAATAAAATTTAGGTGCACATGTACATACCCCTGGTAGGCTACACTAGTTATTTAAAGAACATACCTATTGCATGCAGCAACATGCTATTGCTGAAAATGACCACTTCCTGCATAAAACAAATTTGAGGCACCTAATTGTAGCCTTTTTATGTGACCTACTTGTAGCCACTGCACTTGACACACACGACCATTCTTTTCTGATTCACCCAGGTCGCATGGAGTCGATGTGTCCAGCATGGTGTTTGCAAGCTGCAATTCGACTACTGGGTTCCCTGTAGTCAGGGTATCAAGCTGTAGACCTGGAGATCTGCCTGTCCGCTTGCACAGCACAATTTTCAATGCAAATAGCAACAAAAATGGTAGTTCTGGTATAGAAATCTCACAGGGGTGCCAGATGGAAATTCACAACTGTTCCTTAGCTGGCAACACGGGTACTGAAGGAGGTGCGATAGGTCTGGACAAAAGTTCTCATCTCACAATTGAAATGTCGTCCTTTGAATTCAACAATGCTGATGCACATGGTGGAGCAATTTTTGTAAGGGATGCAACTCTCATTCTCCGCCAATGCAACTTCAGCCACAACAGAGCTGGAGAAAGTGGAGGAAGCATCACGTTTCAGGTAACAGCACCATATGAATCAGCTGTTGCAGAAGAATTGACAGATTTTGGGAGAGACATTTTCTGCTCAACAGAGATGTTCTGGCAAATGAGTGTTGCAATGACTCTGGGTTGGCAATGCTCCCTTCACATGGTGCTTCCTGTGCTTCCTGTCTTTGTTCTAAATGTTGGGCTGGTGCTTATTTGAGAATTGTGTTGGCACAGTCCACTTGCACGATTCAAATTACGAGTTTTCCCTTTGACTTTGGATGAAGATTCAGAAAAGCATACTCATGGCCACTTGACAGTCGAAGCCACATAACTTCAAGTCCTTGCAGTATGCTGTGAAAATCAGGATGATGCCACAGTGACGGCACACAGTTGCATCTTCATAAACAACAGTGCAAAGGCATATGGAGGAGCAATTGCTGTGCAGGTAGGAGCTCATGCTGCCATAAGAAAATTTTGATACATTTTGAGCACCATTTTCAGACCCTGAAAACAGAAATAAGATTTTCCTGCTCTCAATTGAAGCAAGGGTCGTGCAGGAAATCAGATAAACTGGGGTCATTTGAAGGCCTGAGATGTTTGTTTTAACTCTGGTTGTCAACAAAATTCAAGCTGCAGCCGTGTGCATGTTGCATTTGTATCCAAAAGTAGCTCTTTCATTTTGTGAGTTAGCAAGTTGTTGATTTTACAGTTATTTCCTCTGTCTGGAATCAATGTCCTCCTTTGTTTACAAGGTGGAAATTTGTATCACTGATTCATCATCTTGTACTAAAAATTTAGTGGGAAATGAACAATGAATACACTGAAGCCTCTCAAATTGCCGCACACAGCTGTCGCACATTAGGCAGTTGATGGCAGCTTTGTTTCTCTTGACTTGAGTCAGCGATGCAAAAATTTTCCAAGTCTCTCAGTATTTCATGGCATTGGCAATATGCCACCATTTTGCATACTATTGTTGCTAGTCAGTCCTCACAATAACTTCTTGTTGCCATGAAGATGTTTCTCCAGGATGTACTGCATCTATATCTTTCTGTGCTGCTCTCTGAAACAGCGCCACTCGACTGCAACCATCAACAAATGCAATTTCACAGACAATAACGCCAATGATGGAGGTGCACTTGGCATACAGGTGAGGGAATACGAAGTTTATAATAGTTCAAATGATGTACGCATGCTCAACAATGATTTCCCCTATTCCAGGAAGGCGACCAACACTTTGCTATGGTCGTTGCTGATGTTGATACCATAATGAAGGTCTCATCACCTTTCAGCAGATAATGATTGGGATGATTCCACTGGCAAGCACTGGCAAGCATTGTCGAAGGTCAATTGATTCTGACCCTTTGTTTGTATCCGGCTGAAAACTGTTTTACGGGCTGTCAAACATGTTGAAGCATTGTCAACAATAATAGACAATTTGGGTGAAATTTATTACTTCCATTGGTAAATATAATGGAGCTACATCCAGTGGATTTGTATGCAAATTAGATGCAAGTGCTAGTGTAGCAGCTTTCAATTGCGACAAGGCTCAATGTATGCATGATTTCCAATGTGGAATTTTATGCCATTATTTTTGCTTTGCCTTCATTTTCATCAGCACAAACATCTGCAGTTTTAATTAGTTATTCATTATTGGTAGCTGTTCTGAACAAGACGCATATTGGATAAGATATATCGCAGGCTGCGATTTGAAGATATCCAGAAGCTGCATTTGAAATATTGGCAGTGTCATTGGAGCTAATTCCCAAATTGACAGTAATCCTAGAGTACAAGCGGGCGTTGTATTCACAGCGTTTCGTGCACATACCGAGAAACAGTTGTATTGGGGAGGATATGTGGCCACGCACAGAGTTTATTCATTACAATATTTATTCTTGTGACACGATGTTGCATGCGTGGCACTGATCTGAGCACGCACAGTGTGAGACTGTACAGTGAACACAATGCTTATTTAGGGTGGCATTCAGTAGACATTTTTGAATTGCCAGAATGGGCAAATTTGTGTGGGGCAACAAGACGACCGTTGGCACTTGGCTTGCTACAGATATCCAAAAATCAGTATTTACTCCGTCCCATAATAATTGCCGTCTATGATTTTGTGGCATTACTTCTCCATCGTGCCTGCATCATTTTGCAATGAAATTACCCAAAGTTGTTCCTATGAAATTGGAGTATACTATCAAATTTTCAAGTCAGTCCATTGAGTATTGAGAATGTGGCAGTACTTTGTAGCAAGGGTGCTCTGGCCGGAAAAGGGCCGATTTTGGATGCTGCACCAAAAAACAGCCGGTTTTGGCTCTTTCGAGGAGCATGCCTTTGCGGCAATGAAACAAACCCGTCCTTGCAAAAGTATTCATGCTGTTCAGAGCGGAGGTCACTAGGGTGCTTGCAAAGAGGTCCTGAGATCGAATATGCGTTTTGAATCTGTTGATTGCCGAATGCACCATGGCTTGCAGCATCAATTCAAGCTTGATCTGTTGGATCGGAGCAATGTTCTGGACCAAGATTTTTGGGCCAGGGCTTTCCAAGCTCCTTCACTATCATCGACGCAACTGAGGGAGGTCTCAAAATCCTCTTAATAAGGAGCTGGAGATGGTGATGGCTATCATCCTGATATAACATGAACAATTAATGAATTGGACATTGCCATGGGAATGGCAATATGTCCTTGTTTCGAAATTTCAAAGGACTGGGTGCAAGGAGGATGACCACAAAAATTAAATTCGGGTCTTTTGAAGTGATGAAAACTTGCTCGGTTTTAATGGAATGTGCACCGCACACAAGTATTGGCCACTGCATCCACATAGTGGCTATTTTGGGACCTCCAGCTTGGGGGCCCATGCAAAGCCCGATTCAGGCATCAGCTGAAGCAAAATATCCAAGCAAGGCTGCCAAACAGCCTTGGAGCAAAGGCGCAACCTGATCTTGAGCTTGAAGGTTTTAGACATTGGCGTTTCCACTCGTTGGAGGTCCCCTCATTGGGGATTGAGAAAAGTGGCGATTTGGGGCATCGTCAATGCTGCGGCGATGGCCACCTGAGGCAAAGATAAAAAGGACGTTTGAGTGTTTTTGGCAAGTGCTATGCCACGTGCTGGACCTTGTCCTTTGCTGCAATGGTGGCAACCACCAACGTTGCAACTCCCTGGCATGGGAATGCCCCTAAATCAAGAGGGGCTGCAAGACCGCGGAAATTGAACGAGCATTGTTTTGTCCTGCCGAGGCAATGTTCTGGGGCAGCTCACAGGGCTGAGGACTCAAGTGTTTTTTTGCCTAAAAATTCGTTTTTTAGAGATTTGAGACCCAACCTTTCCAATTTTGGCCTCCAGTTGTAATTTAGATGCTGTTTTTATTACGATTTCTTTCCTTCCAAATAGAGGCAAGTAATATGGGATGGAGGAAGTATAACCAGAACGACCCCTCGATCAGATCGCTTTGCGACTGTAGGTGCACAACACAGAATAGACATCTGCTGCTACTGCCATGGCTGCAGGCTGGAGGCGTCGTAGTGTAAAAGCTGTGGAATTGAGTTCCTCACTGCTCGATTGTTGATTGTGACTGTGCATTGGGTAGCCCGTTGAACAATTCAGATATGGATCAGAAGCCAAGAAATCGGTGAACTTCACAACGACAGCATTTTCAAAAGGATGCACTGCCATGGGCAGGGTGGCTACGAGCGTGTCACTAGCAATAAAAGGGCCAAATAACACATGTTCAAATGCGTACATAGTATACGGGTTTGTGTCATTTTTGTGTTCTTACTGTGCAGAACTTTGACGCAATGTGTTTTGTGCATGTTCAAAAAGTGTTATTTGGTCCTTTTCTCTGCTAGCATGTAGGTCACCGCCAAAAGTTTGAAGGGATGCAATAGACGATTCCCTACGCAGCGGCCAAAAGATCGTTGGAAGTGGCTGTGGCAGGCTCAGGCCACTAGGGGCATTTTGAGTGCCATTCAAGTTGCTTTAAAAAGTGCTGCTCTATGAGATTTTGAACGTTACAGAATGCAACAGCATCACTATGCACCATTTGGTGTCTTTGATTGAGCTTCACACCCTTCAGCAAATGTGTTTGGTGGGATTGATGTCCTTTCTGGATAGATGTTACTTGCACTAAACACACCAATAATTGGATACTAGCAACGAAAGGACAGCTTTCAGTGCACACAGCAGTTTCACGTCTAGTCTGAAGACACCACATATCTTACAGCGGTAGATCCTAGATGTATTCTTGTGCTGTCATGGACAGTGGTGGGGATTTCTGCCAATTGGCAATGGTGAGGTTGGTAGGCATGCAACATCTCTGCTGGTTATCCATCTTGTTGTGCTGGTCATTGCTCTAGAGCATGAGCAAGGCTGGCCTCTCCACCCTCCCAGAGCTTTGAAGTCTAGAAAGAGGGCTGCACTTGTGTTCTGGCCCATCCCAGACCCGGAAACCTATGTTTTGGTGGGTGGAGGATGCCCTGGAAGGGTCCAATTTCTGGACAGAATCAGGGCAGAGCAGGTTCAATGCATTGTCAAATGCAGTGTGCTTAGTCGTACCTTCTTTTGGCAGCAATGAGCACATGTGTACAGGTGCTGCAGTTGCATTCTCGATAAAAAATAAATTAGCATTTCATACAAATTCAACCTCCCAACAAAAAATTGTTTCATTTAATTTGGGACAGAGGAATAGTGTATCAAATATGCAAGATCAGCACAATTAATCCATCTGCCGCCACTTTCGGATTTCTTGGATGCTTTGGAACTGATGTGGGTCCTTGCAGCATTGCTGGTAACCATGCAGTAAGATACTCACATACATATCAAAAGCGTACCTGTTCAGTTTTGACCATGCATCCATTCTCCGTGACGTTTTCCTTGATAAATTTCTCCAAAATTCAAATAGAACCTTGTTGTAAGTGGCCGTGGGAACTGCCACAATCACTGGAGAGTCGATCACCTGTATCTCGTTGTCTCAAGTGGATGCATGAGATTTGGGCATATCATAAATACAATAAGAGCAGAAGAATCGAGGTACAAATGCCATCAATCTGTGGCACAGCAACTTGCTTTACCTGCAGTGTATGGTACTTGCCACCTGCTCAAATTAGTGGATGCACATTGCAGAACAAGCACGCACTTGTGGTAGAATTGACGTTTCTAATGCGAAGTTCATGTGCAATGCTGCACACGCTTGATGCAAAGTTCGTTTACAATGCACGAAAAGTGATGCAAAATAGGCTGTCTGGAATTTCTTTCGTCATCCATATTCTGCTTTCTGCAGGCATTGTCCTTCTGAATGATAAAATATTCACCTTGTTTCGTGCAGGGACAATCGACGATAGAGTCAAGATCTTGTGTCTACGAAAACAACACTGCTGAAATTGATGGGGGGGCGATTGCTACTGTGAGTGCATGCCCAATCCAAAGTGTTGCTGCAACCCTTGCACATATTGCATGTTTGGTACATCTATTCATGTCCCTCTCCCCTCCGTCACTTTGGCAATCTTTCTCATAAGAGCTACCATGTGTAAATCTGCAGATCAGTACAATGGCGATAGGATTGCTATTTTTGAAGATAAAATTGCATTTCGACTATATTGTTACAATACATATACAATACATACATGATACGAACGCCTTATTCTGTCAAGCGTACCATCAAAGAGGATAGAAATTTCAGCATGTGCGCAAAAATAATCCTGTGTCCAGCACAAACCACTGTCGGGGGCCCCCATTGCAGGTTTGATGTATGAGTACTGCTGATTGCATGGTTTCATGCTCCAGGCATGTTATTCATGGTGTTATCGTATATCACATTCACATATTCTATATTCAGAAAATACCATCACATTTTGTGCATAGATATGCACGAAATTGTGTAAACATAGGCCGCTTGTACGTAAAACAGTGCGCAGAAAATTAGGGAGTTTGGAGAATGGCATCCAGAGGCATGGGCGATGCAGAAAAAACGAATCCGTCGAAAAGCAATGCCAACTCGTCAAATGCAGAAATAATGCAAATACTATGTGTGATTTCATTTAGGTAATTCTGACGTGGTGGCTCTATCTGCTGTATGGATTGTAAATTTCACATAGCATTCAAATGTACTAAGGATGGCTGAATACCAAGTATGCAGACAAGCTTTCAAAATACACTCATGAGATACTATGGAATGTTCCCAATCGCTGTAATATTGGTAGGCTGCCTTGATTTTGCATTCATGCATCCAACAGGATGGGTCAACTGCAAATATAAGCAATTCCACCCTCGTGGGCAATGGAGCCAACAACTCTGGAGGTGCTATTTTTATTAAGGTAGGGCAGTGCCTAGATCCATATGTTGCTATGAAAGCAAGTGTGGAATTGAACACTACGATGCATAAAATGGTTCCATTTTGCTGGGAATCACCCACCAGCGTATTTACCAAAAATGTAAGTGGACGTAGATTATCTGTCTCTGCAAATTTCTTGGCATATGGGAAGGAGATAAATGTCTATCTTGAGGTAAGACAGTGTTTGGTTTGCTGTTCTATCATAAAAGCAATGTAGCATTTGACACCACCAGATAGCAAATGTTTTGGCGTCTTTGGGATATTATCTGCCAGCACAGCTCACTGCCAATGCAAGTGCTTGTAGGTTTGCCTACCACATTTGCTGGCAGGTGGGAATGGGGAGAAAGTCAAAATTCTGCCCCGACTGCCATTCATATTTTTCCTGCTTCCTCCGTCCGGAATTAACTGTCCTCTATGAATTTGGTGCCTTACTTCTACATCATAGATACTGTATTTCCCATTCAAAATTGTTGCAAAGTTGCGCCTATGTTTTAAGAATATGCAGTCAAGTTTTGAAGTCAAGCCATTGAGTATTGCGGACTCGGCAGCACTTTATACCAAGGGCCATCCAACCAGAAACCCACCAGTTTTTCAACATCCCTGCGAGAATGGCATTTTCGCTGTTTTGAGAAGCACGCCTTTGCGGCAGCACTACAGAGCCGCCCAGGCAAAGCTACCCACGTCGTTTGGACAAAAGATCATGGAGGTGCTTGCAAAGGAGAAGGGCAACAGAAAATGCATCGTGAAAGTGGTAATCGTGGAAGTCGCTGTGTCTTGCGGCTGCAATTCAAGCTTGATTGGCAAAATCAGAAGTGCCCATCGGGTCCAGATTTCTGGACCACGACTTTTGGATCTCCATCTCCACTATGAGTGATACTGCAGGAGGCCTCCCAAGTTCCTTGCATACCCTTAGGAATGTGGTGGCCATCACCCCATTCAGCAGCGGACAATTATGGGGCGATTAGGCAATGGTCCTCCTGGACGGGAATGGTAAATGGACCATTTTTTGCACTTGAAGGGCTTGAGCTTGAGAAGACTAGCTGGATGGATGAAAATATGTCTCTCCAAGGGGAATGCACTTGATGGACTGTGATGGATTGTGGATTGCACGTAAGAGTTGGCATATAGTGGCAGTTTGTGGGGTGTGGGCCAGGCTGCCCACAAAGCAACGGCTCAAGCCTCAATCGAGGCAGATTGTCCAAGCAAGTCTGCTACATAACTTTGAAATAATAGCTCGCACATGTCCCAAGTTTGAATGCCTTGGACCTTAGCTTTATCCGCTTGCTTTGCATCCACACGTCAAGGATCGATGATGGCCAAGATTTCAGAAATCGTCAAAACTGCGATGATGGCCTTCCGCGATGGGGATGCTGACACGCTTGAGCGTGTTTGCCAAGTGCTATTCCATGTGAGGGACGTTGCCCTTCGCCACAAAGGCGGCAACGACTTGTCTTTGGCCCACCAAGGATGGGAGTGACCCAGAAACGTGCAGGTCTATAGCGGATGCGGAATCAGCATGAACAATTTTTGGACGAATTTTGGCCAATTTGGGAGGCTCTCAGTGGGGGATGGGACCAACCTTTTATTGAAAATTGGTAGTTAAGGGTTTTGCAACCCAATTTTCATGACTCTGATGTCCTTTTGTAAATTAAAAAGGTCCCTTGTAACGGAATTCGTCTTTCAAATAGAGGACAATTAATTCCAGATAGAGGAAGTATGTATGTGCACAAACTGCACAGAAGTTATTGGACACACCCAGGAGGCGGAAATGCAGGTGCAATCAAAACACAATTGTGTATGCAGCAAAGTTTCGATTTTTTGTGTGCTATACTTGCTTTGCATGGAAGTCTGACTCGGTTGATGCTTGAATTGAGGATCTTGTGTGCAGCTCAACTTGGAATCCTCAAAAAGCCCCTGGCCAATTCTTGCATGCTATATACAAATTATAAAGCCTAGCGAGTCTGAGCTTCTTTAAGAGATGCAAAATTACCCTAGTAAGGTAGTTATTATCCCAGCTCCCAAAATTTCCAACTTCCAAAACAGGTTAGCTCTTGATCGCTATCACAATGCCCAATTCACTCATTGCCTGCAATTGATTGGGGTGATTCCCCTTCACTTGGCAAGAGACTTGGGAGGCTCTTGCAGTTTCCCTGATGGTGGTGATGGAAGCCACAAAGCCCTGGCTAGAAATTTGGTGCAGAACGTGGCTCCGGACTGCCAGATCGATCTTGAATTGCAACCATCAGCCATGGCAAGTTCGATGATCAGGGCTTTCGAAACGTGGCTTCTATTGCCGTGCCTTTTTGCAAACATCTTGGTGACCTCTTGTCTGAACAGCATGGACAACTCTTCACACACGCTTTTGCTCTGCAAAAGCATGCCCTTTGAAATAGGAAAAACAGCATATTTTGTTGGGACACTGCAAGCAGGCTGTTTTCTAGACGTGGAGCCCTTGCAGCCAAATCATCGGTACTTAACAAATGAGTTTGAAATTTCGATAGTATGCTGCAAACTGGTGAGCACAGCTTTGGGGCAAATTTGATTGAAATTGATGTTGGCAAGATGAAAAAGAAATGGCCCCGCCCAACTCATAGAAAGTGATTAACAGTCGATGGAAGAATCATGAGGTGGAACCCACAAAATCAGTAGAGACTAGGTGAGTGTCCCTGCATTGCGATGTTACAAAAACCATAAGCAGCAGCGTAAAGCACATCCGATAATCTGGAATTATGCACATCAATTTATGCTGTTCAAGCTCTGTAAGATGAAGATACCCTTGCATTTGAGGTTGCCCTTTCCCATTGCGTAAATGTGGGCATTGTTTTTAATGCATGGAGCAGAATTTCGAAATCATGCTGGGAATAGTATGGAGCAAATTGCGCAATGCTTCACTTGCACTGTGGTAATGGCCATCTCCGTACAAACTTACTCTTATTTTTATCAAGCTCATAACTTCATCTGTGTAGCATGATACCTGTACTCATGAGAACAATGCTGCCACAAGCGATGGGGAGCACAGTTATTGCGTCTCCGTGGGCACCACCAATCCAAACCACTACTCGCTGTGATCTGACAAGTAGTGCACTTTCTCTTGTCCCCATTGGTCATATGTGGCCTTAGTTTGCAAGATCTGCTATCGTATTTGCTGTAAAGATTGAATTGACATGCGAACCTGTGTGTGCGATGGAGAATGAAGCTGCCCTTTGTTTTGGAATTGGCCCTAAGTGAAGAACATGCATGCGTGATTCTTTTTTCTTTCGTGTATGTGATCATGAAAATGCGATTCTTATGTGCACACACACAACATTGCCAATGTGCCAATCGCACAAGAGTCGGCAAAATTCTCCATGTAATCTTTGTTGCATTCCCTTTTATGTGAGGCTGTCTGGCATTTATCAAAGGCTGCCTCATTTCCACTGCAGTGTTTTGTGTCCTGTTTGTCTTGGTTTCTGTCCCAAAGTCCGCTTGTCATCCACTTACAATGTTAGCTTCTTGGATCTAATGCTTCTGAATGTCAAATGAGATCAGAATCAGAAAGATTAGTTCATGGCTGCCAAACCCGAAATCCTAGAGCCACCTCCTAATTGTCCATCTTGTGATCGTCATTTGGTCAACTCCTTCCTGCACACTGATGGAATGGGGCAGCCTCTGGACACTGCCCTTGTGGCAGCAATGGATTTCAAACATCAAGGTCAAAGACTCTAAGGGGGAAAGGCTGTCCATTTATTTTGAACGCTTTTGCAATGCACCAGCAATTTTTACCAGAAAACACACGAGGGATTGTCTGTTGCCTCCATTCTTAATAAGTGCAGTGCCAACCTTCAGTGTCAAGGGCGTGGTGGGCCATATTGCGTTTTGTGCATTTTGTTTTGCACACTGCATTACAACAACATCAGGAGGACCCAAATTCCAATCCACTCGTGGGCACTTAAACCTCGAATGTGAGACTGGGAGAGTGTTGATAGTCTTTCACGAATGATGCACTACTGATTTTGTATGTTTCTTCAACAGGGAGAGTCGAATGCAACTATAGGCAACTCCACACTCGCACACAACAAAGCTTCCTACGGAGGCGCTGTTCATGTTGTGGTAGGAATGTGCCTGGATAATTTTTCTGTCACACAGGCAAATGCAGCATCCAATGCCACCATGTTGCAAATTACCCTAGCTTTCTTCACTAGAACGTCCATCAGAGCATCACACAGCTAATGCAGGCGGTGTATGTTTATCCATTCATACTTGCCATTTGGCAGGTGAGAAATGCAAAAACTGTTGCAGATAAGTACCAAATGTACTGACTGCATTCCAGGCAGATGCAAATGGCTCGGTGCAGTTATGGGACACATCAAATGCACTGGGACAAAGAGGTAAAAAATATACTAGTCATGTTTGTAACGAATTCTTCGATATAGCATGTGCCGTGCAGCATGTCGCCTGTGCAACCAATTGATGCTGGTGCGAAAGCTCGAGTTTCATCCTGCAGGCAACGTCATCCAATGGCAAACAGCTGCGTTCTTGAGAATCGATCATTTAATATTATTGTTGCAGAGTGTCAATTGGGATGCTGAACTCCTTGTGGAAGCAGGATACACGTGTTTTCGTGATTGGATTCTGCCAACGCAGAGTTTTGTGCGCATTCTATCATAATCCTGCCGAAAAATGAACGAAACATCATGGAAATAGCAGAAATACAGCTTGGCACGTTCTGAATTGCTTTTTACTGATTTTTTTGACAGAATAACTGCCGCCCACTTTATTTTTGAAACAGAAGTCCTCGTCCACGCTATACAATAACTACATATACGAGAGCAACACTGGCACAACGGGCCTGGTATTTATGTTTATGTTAATGCTTTTCATGCGCAAGCACGTATATTTGAAAAGGCAGCTACTTTGGCAGTTACATTTACATAATTTTACAGATCGTCAAGACACCCAGCCACATGATAAAATCGCAAACAATGATCAGTCCTGCGCCTTCTCGTGTCCCCAATACAAGTTGCCCACCTCGCCCTCAGCAAAGGCAAAGATGCTGTTGAACAAGAGGTAATTTTCTTCCCAGTTCAGTGCATCTGGATGCCACTCCCCCGATTCCCTGAGTCTGTGTGTACCATGTTTATTTACGTCGGGTCAGATTTTCGTATTTACGTGCGTTTATGCTCAAAACGCAAATACTGCTTGAGCACACATGTACACGAATGCATGAATACCCAATATTTATGTCAAAAAGACCGAGCATGGTCACAAACAACGGGGAATCGATCCCTGTGTTTTTGTGAGTGCATTGCCATCGAGATGTTATATCATAAAATGATTGCATTTTCGCCATGTCTGTGTCTATCTCCTTCAGTTTTTCGTTCCTTTAGATCGCAAGATGTGTGGATTGTTTCACGTAAACACTGAATTGACGTGCAAGGCTGTGTGTCACGTAGAACAATGCTGTCCTTTATTTCCGAAGCCCAATCACACGAAACTGAGTGCACGACACGCATTTTGCCTTTCTGTCTCAAGTTCAGGATCGAAACAATGCTTTTTGGACATGTATGCACACTACAGTGCCAATAGCACAAGGCATTAGACTCAAGAGGTGTCAGTTTTCCAACTGCAGACGATGTTGCGTGCCCAATCCTGTTGGACTGCCTTGCATTTATTGAGCACCCGTGCACTTGCAAAGCCATATTTCTGTTCCCTGCAAATTCAACTTCCCTGTGCCGCGAGTGGAACTACCCCTCTTAAAGTGGTGTTTATCAAAGAGGCGACCCCTAAAGCCGAGGGGAAATCAGAATCAGAAATATTGGTTTGTTAGGTGACGGCAAAACCAAGGAGACTACCATCTGAAAGGCCTACAAAACTTGATCCTGTTTGCCCTG